AGTATTTTTTCATCTCGAGACTGGCAAAAGCTACGGGACTGAAACTTGGAGGTTATAATCTACATGCACGTATGAGCCCCCATCCCCAAAATTGGCGCCACTACCCGCCTGGTACCCGCGTACGGGCCCACCAAAATTTTTTCCGGGCAAGTTCATAATTCGGGGATCTGAGAAGCTAGAAGGCTGAAGTCTTAGAGGAATGTTTCCCGTCCAAGCGGGTATTAGTGGGCTCAAACCCAGCCCCCCGGGTAAGCGTGGTACCCGCGTGCGAGCCCGCCAAAATTTTTTTCGGATAACTCAAGTACCTGAAAGCTAAAGGACTGTAATTTTTTTAAGAGGATATACCCCGTTCACCTAAGTTTCATTCAACTCGAACCCAACTCTCGAGTATGCTTAGTAAATACGCACTGGCCCATGAAAATTTTTTTCCAGTAAGTTGCTAACTCAGGTGCCAAGGAAGCTAGAAAGCTGAAATTTCAAGGGGATGTTTTCTGACAGCTCTAGCGGCCAGTCTTAATTTGTTTAGCTAGAAGCATTTGCCGGAAAAGCCGGTGTCGGTAGCAACAAAAAACGTATCTTCGCACGGGCAGCCCGTGCGTTGGCCAATTATTTTTTTTTTAACGGAGGTACCGCTAACAGAAATAGTCCCTGATGGGCAGTAGAATGATCATACATTGAGGTTGTTATATTCATATAATGAATAGGAAGGTATATTAACAAGGAATGAAATAAGCAGAAGAATTAAAAAAGAACGTAAGGAATGTAAAATTAGAAAATTAAAAAATTTGTGAAATTATTTTAATGATAAGAAATGTTCCGGTCCATTAAGTCGTATACATTTCTTACCGCTACCACAACTGGACTTCATCGAATGCCTCCTTTTTGAATTTCAGGATGAAGAGTTGCGACTGAAATTAAAAGCAGTTCGAAAACTGCAGCTTGACTACAGCATTAATGTTCAATTGTCATTTTTGGAAGACAGCAATTGGAAAGTAACAAAATTGAAGGAATTTGTGCAAGCCCGATTCAACGACATAAACTTTCCACCAAAAATCACTGATGTAAAATTCCTCCCATTTGAAAAACTTCACAAGCTAATCTTTTACCTGTTTCAATTGAAAGTTTTTGAATTTCTTAAGATTTTTCCATTTGAATATCTCGTTTTCTTAAGGATGAGATCGCCCAACTATTGCTGTGGGAGTCTAGATATAACTGAGAGCCTTCCACATAAAGAACCCCCAACTGTATCTGGTCCTGATGTTCTGACCTGTATATCTCCAAAACTTCTTCCTCCCTTACGTATGCACATTCATCTTTTGGGAGCTGTATAATAAGTATTTTTGTACTTCTAAGTTGTTTACACAATAATTCACAATAATGAAGGTTAGGCTGTCTGTCAGACTAGAGACTCATTTGTTGACCAACTCTCTGAATTTTTTTTTTTGCGTGCCTTGGGCAGAGTTCTGTTTTGCAAGCGATCATAAGCCGCTAAGGGAGTCGAACCATTCCTCTTCACATCCGGTCGCGACGTATTCTCCACTGCGCTATCGATCCGCATGCTTATGGCTCACCTAGGAACAATTTTCCTGAGCATTTGCACTTGAGCAAAATGCATTTTTTTTAATGATTTCTGCCTTTCCCACAGGCATTGTATACTTTTTGTGACGGCCTCTTTGCCGGCTTTTCAAGGATTTTCCTTCACATCACCTGTTTTTTAATGAAAAGTAGTCAATAATAACCGCTTAATTCAAATTGGGAATTCACCAAGTATTTTTTATTGAATTTTTCGATTTCTTGTTGTTTGCCATTGCCAGTTTCTGTTGCAGCTTCACCGAATTGCAAATGCTCTAATGGTTGAAGAAAATCAAATGTTTGAAGTAGCAGTAGACTGTGCATTGAGTAAACGAAATCCAGTAGCCGCACTGGAATATGCGAAGTAATTGGTTTTTTGAATTATTTTTTTAAAAAACTTTTTCTTTTTGATTTTATTATACATTCCGGCTCCTGTTTGGTTTCCAAAAATGTTCAAGCGTGAAGCAAAATTTGGTACTTTCAAAAGCTGCCGTTCTTGTCTTTATCGAGCTACTCTGTGTTAGCTGTGCATTTAACAGTTTGTCTTTTGGTAAGAAATATATACGACTTAATGGACTGAAACATTTCTTAACATTAAAAATAAAATTTTATT